CTTCTTTAACTCCTGAATTTGAGTGATTATTTGTGTTTCTTCACAGCAATACCTATGCTTTCTTATAAAGCAGGCATTTCCATACCAGCGAGCCCAACTGATTCATTTGCTCTCAAGTTAACTTGTCTATCTACTTTTTTCTCTTTAAGCTACTCAGATATTTCAGCTTTTTTTCCTATTATATTGTCATCCAGTTTCCCCCCTGTGTTTGCTTGTCAATTCAATCAGGATGTGTTTATGAACTTAATCATTGTGAAACCATAAATAAAAATGAGAGAAAATGTAAAAAAATAAACTATTGTATCATACTGTGATGTGTATTGTGTCAGAGAATTCCAATTTCAAGTCTAGTTGCTGGCAAAAAGGCACTTAAGCCAAGGAAATATGCCAGATAGATAGACATAGCTAGATAGCCCATCTAATTGTGTTTATGTTTCATCTATCGTATATACCAGTTACTTGTCAGAAGCTGAGTGAGAATATTGACAGGGGGAGGGGAGGAGAGGGAGAATTCATAATATCCCAGATTACTTTCTAGTGTCTTCCTTCATTTATCTGTATTATGGTATCGTCTTCATTACAAAATAATAGCTCAGGCAAGACTGAGAATATAAGAGCAATCACATACAAAAAGTGTTTTGCTTTTACCATTCTGGAAAGATTGTTTATGAACGCTAGGTTAATCTTTGTTAGGCCATGCAACGTGGCTCAAAAAAGGTGTGGCAGGCAGTTTTATGATCCATAAAGCTTTTTTCCAAACTTTTATACTCTCATTATTTACATTCAATAGATGTTAGATACAGCCAGCTGCTGTGAGAAAGACCCATCAGATGTACTGAGATTTATGGCCTGATTTTTAAAGGTATTTAGGCGCCTACAGCTGCAGATAGGTGCCTAGTAGATTTTCGAAAGCATATGAATTTTTATGCACCTAAAATACCTTTAAAAATCTAGCTCTTTCTCTTTAGATTCCTTATAATACAGTTACTGTAGACATGGGCTTGTCCCTTGAACTTGTTTGGGTTGTTCTACTGCTCACATTGACCCAAACTCCATGTATAATGGGAATAACAGCTATTTGCCTGGTGGAAAATAAAAAGATAACTAAATTTGCCATTCTTGGTGCTCAAAAGCCACCTTATTAAAATCAAGATTTGTAAGGCACACATAGGATTTGGCTCTTACTTGCGTCTGATCATTGATCAGGCCTTGATACTAAAAATCTGACAGAATCTTACTCGTGTGGTCTTCCCCTAGGAAAGTACTTAAGCATGTGCATAAATCCCATTGACTTCATAGCAATTTATGCACATGCTTAAGTGCATTCCAGAATCACAGCCTAAAGCAGAACCTCTCAGAGGGCTTTCTGCTGAGTTATACTTCACTCTTGATAGATAAATCCAGATTTTAAGACCCAAACTCAAAAATAAGGGCCAGATCCATTTCTGGTGTGACCTTATTAAAATCAATGAGGTTATGCCAGAAATGAATTTTGTCCATACAACCCAAAAGGCTTGTGGTGTTGTTTTTTTTAATTTATAGTTTATCTTAAATCTGGAAGAAACTAAAAAAGGTGGAGAGCATTAATATATCAACAAAGCAAGAAAGTACTAAGAATACTCTGCTATTGTTACTCTAACCAAAGTGCAACTTTCAAACACATTACTACTCAAGTCCTGCAGGCTATTTGTCAGTACTTATTTAGGGAAAAACCCCACTGGCTTAAATGCAAGTTTTGCCTGAGTAAGGCCCAAGACCTGGAAGAATTGACCTTAGACTTACATGAACTAAAATAAAATCAGAGTGTTATCTGCTTTTGGAAACTCGCTATATTAGAAAACATAGATGCTACTTGCATAGTTTAATGTCAAGCTATCCTAGACATCAGGGTGGAACTTAATAAAAGTTGCTTCATTTCCTCCTGCTGAATTAGTTGATCCTGCTAACTGATTTGATTAAAGCAGTTTTACCCCAAGTAATTGGTGTGGTTACTGGCCACTCAACGCAGCTTTTGGTGGCTAATTAATAAGTCAGGTAACTTGCCAGAAGTAAGTATTTTTATAATATCAAGAGGAGGTAGATTTTTTTTCTCAGTTGTTCCAGCCATGTTTTTTAAAACAATCAGATAAATTCACCTTGTTTTTAATGGCCTGAAGCCTGATAGCTCTGCACATTCGATAGGTAATTTAATCATCACTGGTGTGGATGAACAAAAACGCAAATTAACTCCTGAAAGGCTTAGTCTTCCCTTAGACAGCTCTGCCTTTCCACTCTTATGCAGGCACTGAGCTTCACCAACTGGTTAGCTGGAGGTGTTATTAAAAATTTACAGAGAGAAACAAAGGTGTGCTCTGGTGTCTCCTATTACCCTTTCTACTGTTACACTGGCAGACAAAAGGTCTGGAACCTGCTTCATGAATAATGAATCATGTAATATGCATAATGCATTTTTAATGGAACTAAGTAATAACATTAAGACAGATATTTGCAATCTTCAAATTTACACTCTAACAGTCTCAGTAATTTGTTCTGATTCTTCACCAGTTAGCTTATTAAAGTTATTTTTGCCCATTCATTTCAAATAGCTAGCCTTGAAATTGTCATTCTTTATGGACCTGAGCCTGCGCTTCTTTGAAGTCAAGGGAAGACCTCCTACTGGCATCCCTGGTAAAGAATCCAGCGTTGTATGCACAGTAGAGGGAATTTGTCACTATTCTGAATCCTGGTGGCCTTGCTTAATTTTAACTTGGTCCTTTCACAAGTAAAACCCACCCTGGTTGTGATGGGCCACATGCCTGAGTAAAGACTGAATAAGGACTTCTAGATTTGGTCTATAGATAGCAGGAAATTTTAAGTAGAAACCTATTTTTCAATCAGTTCATTGTATTTCCCTCTGTAAAGCACCCAAATCACTACACTTTTTAGGCTCTTTGGTTAGCCTGCCAGGCTTGACCTTCTTACTTCTCCCCTAGGCTAGGCTAGGCTTCTGTCAACATTAGTCCCTGGCTAGACATTGTTCAGGTAGAGCCCCTGCATCCCAGTTCAATGCTGCAACCTGGTACCTAAAACTTGCATTTGCCATCAACCAAATCAAGGTAAGTGCTGAAGGTTCAGGCTGCCTGAAGCACTGGGGAGCTCTAAAGTGCTTTAATTTGGAGTCATCTTTCTGACGATGGTGAGTCTGCTCATGAGTGAAAAGAATCCCTCTGAAGAGTGAAAGCGGAGAGTATTTCTGCTGGAACTGAAATCTGAGGTCAGCAGGAGAGTCCCCACTGTGAATTCACTTATCAATATTCCAGCCTCCATTCAACGTCTGCTTACTGGTTTTCCTCTAAAGCCAATTTAAAATATTTTCTTGTCACCTACATCCAGCCTACACCTCATTCCCCATAACTTGTCTCTCACTAGTGCTGCCTCCAGTGCTCCCCGCTATGCCTGGACTATCCTGGGTCCTGTATGCCATGTCACCTCTTTCTCTCTTCCTTCAAATACCTTCCCAAAACCCACTTTTCCCCTAACAATTACCTGATCTCCTGTGCCAAGCTTATTGAGTATCCCTCCCTACATGAACTATTACCAAGATATACAATTACAGAATATTATTGTGCATACCCTTCCCCATCTCTGCTTGGCCTGCTGTGACCCTGTTCCTTTGTGTCATGTCTTTCTGTGCTTAATAAAGGCCCCGACCATGAAAGCACTCATACATGTAATTTGATGCATTTGAGTAGTCCCACTGATTGAGTTCAATGGGCCTCCTTGTGTGTAAATTTACTCACATATGTATCTGCTTGAGGAGAGGGCCTTCAATTGACAGCTCTGTGAGAAAGGGCTCATGGGTAAAATTTCAAAAGTGAATCTGTAACTTAGGTGCAGATTTTTAAAGGTACTCAGGCATTGCTGCACTCACGGTTGCAAGGCCTAAGTGACTTAAGAACATTAGTCTCATTTGATTTCAATGGGAGTTGGGTGCCTAAATACCTTTGAGGATCTAGGTCTTAGTGCCTACGTCCCATTGACTTTCAATGAGACGTATGCTCCTAAGCCCCTGTCTCTTAGCTTCTTAAATTTTTAGGGCATTTTTGAAAATCTGCCCCATGTGTAAAGTGCCATGCCCGCCTATCACAATATATATGGATCACTTGATGATTACCTGTTCTGTTCATTCCTTCTTGGGCACCTGGCATTTGCCACCGTCGGAAAACAGGATACTGGGCTAGATGGACATTTGGTCTGACCCAGTATGGCCATTCTTATGTTCTTATACAATGTTGCATAATAATAAAGAGTGAAATTTCCTAACTCTGTTGAACTTCAATGAAAATAACTATAGAGGATCCTCAATACTTTATTAATTTAAAACATTATTCCAATAAATATGTACCAATAAACATAAGACACTCCATAAAATCTAAATAAAGACATTTACAATCCTGCCAACAAAGTAAAAACAGCATATTTTTCCACTGAGGTACACACAGGGTCATTTAAGGCAAATTCAATCAATTACAGGTTCATAATTATTCCTGCCCACCCTCGGCATGGTAGCATTTAAAAATAAAAATAAAAAACCCTAATATACAAACAAGTCTATCAGGAACTTGTCAGCTCCTTCCCAGTTATTTATAATCAAACCCAGAGTGCTGGTGCTGATGGTCATTCTGGACAGAAAGCCCGTGCCTGCTATTTGGTCCTGTTCTTTTCAGTCGGGGCAATCTGTTGTTCTCAGGAGTTCCTAGTTATAGGGCATTACTCTGTGCTTTGGCTTTTCCTGTTGAGTCCTTCATAGGCTTCTCCTTCCCCAACTGATGTAGAGCAAAATCCCAACCTTTTCAGACAAGCAACCCCACTCCTAACACACACACACACACACACACACTCACCCAACCAGGCCTTGTCTATACAGACAGACAGAGAGAGCTGGAAGGACAGGAGACAAGGGCCTGACTCTCTTCTCACACTAGTTTTACAGCAGTGTAAGTCCCGATTTACACCAGTGTAAGTGAGATCAGAACCAAGCCCAAGCTGATTCCTTGGTGCTGAAAGCTGCGAGATATCAGTCCAGCTCCTCCACTACAAGCCCTCCAGACAGAGAATGATCAATAAAGCTATTTAACAGTTAAACTCAACAAAAGCAAGCACTTTTCATAACATTACCTAACAGCTCAGTGTGTTTATCATGTAAACTCTGTTTCCCTGCAAGTTAATTTCAAAAATAAAAAGATGAAGGAATTCATCTTTGCCATGGGTGAAGGACTTTCCAGCTCACCGATATTTTCTAGCTTATCCACACTTGGAGCTTCAGGTTTCAGATGGAAACATTTATTTTCCAGTGTTGTGAGAGAGAAAGCCCAGCCTTTCAGATCCACTTTCAGAGTCCTTCTGGTTGAACTTTCAAAGCTGTGTCCCATCCTATCCTTCCTGAGATCCTTCCCCAAAAAGTAATGCCAGGGTCTGTGCTAAAGGGCATGACTCAGGGACATCAGGGAAGCAAGGGAGTCTCTTCACATAGTGTTGTAGGTGCTTTCTGTATCGCAGCTGGGTCTCATTTCAGACCGTGTTGTGTCTCCCGATGTCTCCTTAAATCCACCTTCCTCTGGAAGCCTTTGCCACATAGATCGCAGCCAAAGGGCTTGAAGCCGGTGTGCTTACGACTATGGGTGATGAGGTTGGAGCTCTGGCTGAAGGCTTTCCCACACACCTGGCACTTGTGGGGCTTCTCACCTACAAGGAGAAGGGGATAAAGAGGGCAGGCCCCATATTAGACAATCAACATAGCATCCAGGCAGATCCAGGACAAACGAGCCATAGTCAATGCGCCCCATGCTTTGAAGGGATTACCACGCTGCAATATTGTCATCTCTAAGTGACCACAGAACAGGGTCACTCTCCCTAGGACAATACTATGGGTGAAATCTTACCCCATTTAAGTTAATGGCAAAACTCCCTTTGATTTCAATGGGGACAGGACTTCAACCTATGTCTCATTTCAGTAATGTATGTTACCAGATTCTGGTCTCGCTTATGCCAGTGTAATTCCAGAGTAAATCCATCAGTTGATTTAGAATCTGGCCAAAGATTTGGCCAATAAAGTCCAATTTAAAAAAAACTAATTGTCTTTCTTCTTCTCTTCCCCCATCCCATTTTACTATTTAAATGGTTCAGCTGAACCAAATTTTTCAAATGTATCCACTAAAGTTTAGTTTGTCTCAACTTGAGACAAATTCTAAGTCAGCCAATGGGTTTACTCTGAAGTTACACCTGAGTAAATGAGACAACTTTATAATAATAATATTTAAGTTTGTTTTTCACAACCACTTGTGACCTTTTTGAAAGTCAAATACTTTGACAAACAGAACTGATTTTATATACGTATATTCAGATCACTATCATTTTCGATGATTTAAATCCATGATGCTAGCAGTTTGAAAGGGAAGCTTTATTTTTAAAGATCCCTGAGAAAACCTGCTGCCTCTTTCAACAACATTCTTTGAAAAATGCTTTCCTTGAGTAATTTATCTGCAGTGTATTAATTTCCATATTCATTATCACCAACAATGAAACTTGAGAACTATGCACCTCTCCTCCCATTATATGCCAGACTGCAACCATTTGATTGGAAAGTCCGGGTGGAAGCCCAATAGATAGATAATCTCTGAGTAAATATTTAGACTGAGAGTTGGACCCTGGGCCCTTGAGTTTAGTGTTTAATCTAGAGGAGGAGGCTGCTGCTGCTGCTATTGTAAAGTGGCAGGCTATGCAGATGGAGATGCAGCGGTCAGATTCACCTGTCATTTTCCAAGGGCCATAGCTCTAAATCAAGGCCATATGAATATACTGCTCTACAAATCATCTTACAGAGAAGCCCTTCTGAATAACCACAGGGAGGATCCTATTAAAGCAACACTGATTGGACAGTGAGGATTTCAGGTATTAAACAGAGGCTGTTCATGAAACCAAGTTCAAATTTCCCTTCTTTGCACCATTGCTCCGCTTGGGTTTCCACAATGTGAGCTACCCCGGTAGGGCAAGGGCCTGGCAGAGGGAGCTGCATGCACTGGTCTGGCTGAAGATGAATGGATTGGTGGGAGGAGAGAATCTCCTTTTCAGAATCTATTCTAATGAATAGGGGCTGAATGCCAGCTGCTGCAGGGCTGACCTGTGTGAATGAAAGTGTGTTTCTTCATGTCAGATTTCTGGTGGAACCGTTTCCCACAGTACTGACATGGGTAGGGCCGGGTGTCCGAGTGAATGAGCAGGTGGGTGGACAGGGTGGAAGATCTCTTAAAGCTCTTGCCGCAGATCTTACAATCAAAGCTGCGTTCCTGCAGAGAGAGGAAAGACACACACCCCGTTATGCCACTCCCAAGATCTCTTCGCAATGCAGTTAGCCTGCCAGTGCATTAACAAACACCCCCATCCCAGGAACCACATCCTCCTCCCCAGTACCCACTAGGCCCAGTGGAGGCACTAACCTTGGCATTACTGCCCCACTTGGTAAAATACATCCTTGATTCACAGTCAGATAAATTCACCTTCCTCCCAATTCTATGCACCACTCAGACCTAGTAATGTAATGGAATGGCTCTTCCAGACCAAGGGACTGTGTGGGACTAGTTACTTTGGTGCCCCAGACTTTGCACTACATATGTGCACATTCCAGGGGGCTCCAATGGAGAAGCCATAAGACTTCGCTGAGCAGCCTGATGGCCACAATACAGCACAGTGGGGCATTTGGTTAATGACATTGCAAGGTACAGGACCCCACCTGACATCTTAACAGTGCTGAGGACCGTGGGAAAGTGAGACATTGAGGGGAACTTTTGGATTGGGTTGAATTCTGTTGGGCAGTTATTGTTTGCTGCTAGTTTAACTTTTCATCAACATTCAGGTCAAAGGTGCCTAGGGCTTTAAGATCAGAGCCTTTCTGGTTGTTAATATTTCTATAAATCAAAATACATACACTGGAACCACCACTACCTCTCCCTCCACTCAACTTCCCGTCAGACCTTTAGATGCCCCATCACGCACTCCTCTCCTCCTTTCACCTATGCTCCCTCTCTAGACACCCCATCGCAAAATCCTCTCTTCCTTCAAGTATCAGGGGGTAGCTGTGCTAGTCTGTATCTACAAAAACAACAAGGAATCTGGTGGCACCTTAAAGACTAACAGATTTATTTGGGCATAAGCTTTCGTGGGTAAAAACCTCACCTCTGCATCTGAAGAAGTGAGGTTTTTATCCACGAAAGCTTATGCCCAAATAAATCTGTTAGTCTTTAAGGTGCCACCAGACTCCTTGTTGTTCTCTTCCTTCAGTGCTTCTTCCCCTACCACACACTCCTCTCTTCTCCCAGCACTCACTCTCCTCCTCCAAGGCCATGTTATGCTTTTCAGACACGTCTGCTTTAAGTCTGTATTTGGCAGGCAGCATTTGCTTGTTGTGCTCGGCCCCAAATGCTTCCTCCTCAGGGTTTGAATACACTGAATTGCTCTTTTTTCCACTGTTTAACTGGCGATATTTCCCTTCCTCAGACGCCCTGCAGTCGCACACTCATTCACTTGCAAATAAAACAGCAAACAAGTCTCTCTGTAACTCTGTCCTCCTGAAGCTGACTTTGGGAGGGAAGATTTGCCAGGCCAAGTGAGTGGGTGAAGGGAAAATATGGTACAATATCAGCAGGTGGAAAAAGTTACAAATCCTCCTACCAAAATTAACGGCCATATTCTTCTTGTGTGTGACTCAGATCACGTTGAGATGGGTGAAGTCTGCTCGCTACACACGACTGGGTATTCAGGTGTTCCCTGCACACACACACACACACACACTAACTAAAAAGGAGGGCAGATTCACTCCTTTTGGGGCAGGGCTGCCCAGGGGGGGGGCAAGTGGGGCAATTTGCCCCAGGCCCCGGGCCCCACAGGGGCCCCCACGAGAATATAGTATTCTATAGTATTGCAACTTTTTTTTATGGAAGGGGCCCCCGAAATTGCTTTGCCCCAGGCCCCCTGAATCCTCTGGGTGGCCCTATTTTGGGGGAGAGCTGGAGGGTGGAGACAATGAGTTTCTTTAACTGCTACAAAAGTCCACCATCCTGCTGCAAGGTCCTGACTTTGGGTGAGAGTGAGACACAAATTCATGACATGAACAGTTGTTTTATTTGTAAAGTACCATAGGTGTCCATAGCTCATTACAGACAAACACGGGGCCTGGGAAGTGTGGAGGAAGTTTTGTTAATTTCATTCTCAGTGTTTATAGTGCCTGGATCCCGGATGCCTACCTGTCACCATGTTCTCCTCATTCAATAGCCCACCTGCCACTGTGCCTCCATCAGCCTCAGCACTCTCCTTCCTCTGAAAGACACTATGCCTCTCTGACCCCCTCACCCTGAGTGCTTTCCTGCACCATGGCCCGCTCACCCTAAGTGCCATCTACCACCATTCAGTTGCCTCAGCTGCCTCTTTGGTTCTGTACCCACGGCCCTGGCTACCTGCCTTAGCACTGCATGCCCCCACCAATGTGCCTGCTCTGCTCTTACCTGGGAGTGCACAGCCTTGTGCTGCTCCAGGCTGACCGCATGGCCGAAGGTCTTGCCACACATGTCACAGGCAAAGGGTCTGGTGCCGCTGTGCGAGCGGCGTACATGCACCTCCAGGCCATGTGGGGTGGAGAAGACCTGAAGGGAGAGAGCACACAGGGGTCAGGCAGGCTAGCATGGGGAGGCAGGGGCTCGGATAGGACCGGAGTGGGGGAGGTCGGTTCCTACCTTGCTGCACTTGATGCACTTGTAGGAGCCAGTGCTGATCAGCAGTGGGCGGCACAGAAGCTCTGACTCCACCTTGATCCCACCTGGGCCTTTCTCCTGCTGCAGCCCAGGCTGGGCCTCTGCATAGAGGCCAGGTGTTGCTGCTGATGGCCGCTCGAAGAGTCCCAGCCCAGGGGAGCTGAAGTCACTATAAAGTCTCAGGGCTGAGCCACAGTCTGTACCAAAGAGGGCAGACTCCGAGCTCCGCTCACAGAAGAGCCCCAGGGCTGAGCTACGCTCCAACGTTGGGCAGGGCCTGTAGTTCTGCACCAAATGCCTCAGCTCAGAGCTGCCCAGGGTGCTCCATGCATATGGCTTGAAGGGCACTGAGAATGGGGGCGCCTCATCCAGGGAGGGGCAGACAGAACGCTCAGACGCTGTGGAAACACAAGGGGAGGGAGCGATTAGTGGGGTTCATAGCCACCACCCATTGGGCACAAAGCAGCACCTCAGAAGCCCAACACAGGTTCCAAAGCCAGAAACCTATCAGTGCTGCACACTCACTCACATGAGGGCTGCCTCTAACCTCTCACAAGGGGCAGGAGGGGGCTGTTAGCCTGCATAGCACACTATAGGCTTAATGCATTCATTGCTCCACTCTGCACAGGCTGCCAAAGCCAGCTTTTCAAAAACGGCCACTCATTTGGGGTGTCTCAGTTTTTGGGTGGCCCACTTGGAAACTTTGGCTTGATTTTCACAGATGTTGCTCACCTGCATCTCCCTTTGACTTTGACTGGAGTTTTGGGTACTCAGCACCAATGAAAAACATACCCAATATGTGTCTCAGACTGGGCACCTAAAATTAATGGCTACATTTGAAAATTTGGGCCTAAATGACTAGGCAGTAATGTAAAGCACACATAATAAATAAATAAATAAATAAATAATAAGCCTAGCTCTTATATAACACTTTTCATATTCTCCTACACATACCATTATGGACATGCCAGTAGCAGCTCCCTAGTTAAAGGTGTGTTACGTTTTACACTTTTAGCAGAACTGAAATCCTTCTGTTTCCCAATTTAATGTCTGAATTAGTCTCCAGATTTGGCACCATAAGTCTTTAGAGGACAGTTGAATTGTCTCTGTAATGTTCCTCACTTTTGCAGAGGAAACATTTTAAAATGGTCTCTTGCTGAAATGGAGATGTGTAATGCTCACATTTCTCTGGGTTCCTTTAGTAAAACAAGCATGGGCTCCACAAACTCTGAACTTCGCAAACTCCAGCCCTGACAAATATTATGAAAACCGTACGCATAAGCCACATTTAAAATTAAAGACACAAAAGAGAGTGATTGCCCTTCTTGGTCATAACCTACATGAACTGCACCACAACAGACTGCTGGAGGCTCAGATCCATCACTTCTGTTTTGCCAACAAAACGAAAACAAACATGTTCGAGTTGTTTTGGGTTTTGTGCTTTGCCAAAATTTCCCAGCCAGCTCTAACCTGAGCCAGCAGTTCTGGTCATACCCCTGGTGAGGGAGATGGGCAGCAGGGATATAGAAATGGGCTCTGGGAAAGAGCTTGAGCTCCAGAGGGCCATGAGGATTGAGCAGGGAGAGCCAAGTTTGGAGGACATGGCTGGTCAAGTGGGACTTTTGAGAAACAGGGGGGTTACCAGAGATGTGCCAGGAGATGGGGAGGAAATAGGCTTGGGGCATGTGGCTCAGAGCTAGGACATGAGACATGAAGAGATGGAACCCAACTGTCTCAGCCCTGACACATTGGACCTTAAAGGGCTCCCTGAGTACTACTGCCTTGGCTCCCCACCGCACCAGCCAGCAGCACAGGGGGAGTCAAGTGTCTCTGTGCTGAGGCATCTGTGTATCAAGGGCTCTCCACAGCATAGCTACACTATGGACTAGGAAGAAGAGGCAACAGTGGAGAGTATTTAATTCACTCTTCACATGCTGATGCCTCCACATAAAGCCATTGGGCTTCATCACCTCAGGCTGCCTGAACAACCCCACCTCTCCCTCAGCCAAACACCTCTTCCTGCAAACTCCCACTTTTATATCCACAATTACTCCCCTGGCTCCTCACATCCCCAGTCAATTCCTGGCTTCCAGAGGCAGCCTCACACCCTCTCAAAAACCCCTTGACACACCAAGATGAGGGTGAAGATATGTGGCTATGTATGCTGTAAAGGAGGGAGTTGAGATGGAAAAGGAAACTGATGAGTGGAGATAGAGCGCTGAATGACTTGGCTCTTATTTCCTTGCTTTATGTTGGTGGGATATGCAGTCTAGAAACCTCACATCAAAATAAGGAAGATTTTTGTGTGGGAATACCCACACATAACACACACACTCACTCATACAAAATGGGTCTGTAATGCTGACATGATGGTGAACACGGTTTGTCCTGCTCTGCACTGACTGCAAAGCTGTGGTCAGCAGCATGTCAGCTCTCTCGGTTCTTCACAACCAGTGTCACAGTGTTGTCACCTATTGCAATTTGATCACAAGTCTCAGAGTATTTGCTGGTTCTCTTAAAGCCCCAGCTTCCGGAAGGATGTGATTTCATCAGCATTTCAGCTTTCTTTCTGTTATTAAAGTAATTTTCAGACATTCATGGTTGGGGTGGAAAGCTTGAAAACATGACCCTTCAATGCTCCAGCACAAGAAGGCAAATCAAAATACCCCCAGGGCCTTATTTTTAAAATCTCATGATTTTTAAGACAGTCTCTTTATTTTTAGGGGTGGGGGAAGGGGCTGACTTATGATTTTGACCCCTTGGAGTAGGCAATAGGGATGTGGTAACATTGGGTAGTGAAGACCAGTCCTGTAGAGTCCCACCCACATAGATACACACCCTTTCTACGAGTGCGGGTGCCAGGGCAGAGCACCCCACACACTGGGCACACCCTCACTAAGGACTGGATGGAGTCACAGAGGCACAGCCTTGAGGTGGGGCGGGATGACACTGCTCCTCTGCCCCAGAACGCTTCCCAGCACCAAGGGCAGTGCAAACTGCTCCCTTTCCTATCCCAGTGCCTGGGCAGAATCATGTCCCGCCTTCCCTCCACCCCCCTGCTCCCTAGCCCATTTAGGCTCCCCCAGGAGCACAGGTGCTGCAATTTTGCCCGGGCTTTACATAGTTCATGCAAGCGAGGCGAAGAGCCCATCCCCCATAAGGGCTAGTGGGACTTTAGCCCTAAATGACTGAACTAATAAATGAATAGGCAGCATTCTACGTACACAAAGATACACACACAAACACACACCCCTATCTCTCTGCCTTCCTAGCTAGAGTCTTATACCTGGGAAAGGTATCATGCAAATTCAATAGCAATGATATATTTAATAGTATATATTAATATGATTTAAATTAATCAGTTATAGACTATGAATATGTATGGCCAGGTGTTATTACATACATACATATAAAGAGAGTTTATAGGTATAATGTATTTATATACCGCAGTAATTTGCATAAATACGGTAGATGTATGGTATTTATAAATATTATTAGTAATACTATAAATAAATCTACTCTATGCAAATTACTATGGCATAAATACAATATTCAGATTTAATTTTGCGCACGAATGAAATGTGAATACATATATTCGTTTTGCAGATCACATGGAATACGAACATGAATCATATTCTATTCCACTATAGGCACATAGCATATGTATTCTATAGCGTTTGTGTCTATATGCACACTCTCACTGACTCTGCCCTATATGAATTTAATTTAGAAAAGCTGTTTCTCTCTTTTCTTTCTTGTCAAGCACAGCAACGATCTTTCCACAGAAGAATAAATCTCGCCGTGAAAAATCAAATATTGCATCAATACATCCCCGCGACCTAATTAGACCGTCATTTGTCTTAAAAATTTCTGGGACAGAGAAGTTGGCGAGGGAATGGGCGGGGGGGGCGGACTGGGGAGAAAGAATTGGTGGGAGGAAGCTTGCTCTCCTGACACCGCTTTCAGGCTTGCCAGGCAGCTTGTACCTGACTCTGTATTGATGCCAATCTGGATGGAGTATTCAGTGTAACGATTTCAGCAGCGTGATTAGGGGCCACGCCTAGCGGGTCGGATCAGTGGATGCCAGGGACACCTGCAATCCCCACTTCACTCCTGGGATATGTTCGTTAAGAATTTAACGGGGACAGATCCCTCCAGTATTGATGCCCCCATCGCATAATCCGTTTCAGCTATAAAATATTATCTCATTTTGTTAAGACACTCGCTCGGAACGCACCTTCCTCGACGCACTCACAGTAAATGAAGCGCTTTAGGCAAGTGAATTTTAGGAGGGGAAAAATAATCGTGAAAAAAAACTAGGCGCAGATCTAGTGAAGACTGTCTCTCCAGTGGTCTGTGTCCACATGTTTACAGACACAAGATGGGTGAGATAATAGGTTTTGTTGGCGAAAGAGACAAGCTTTCGAGCGTACATAGAGCTCTTCTTCAGGGCTGTGTAAGCTGGACAGCTTGTCTCGCTCACCAGCAGAAGTGGGTCCAATAAAAGATTCCACCTCATCCACCTTGTGCCTCTAATATCTGGACCTGGGACCAAAATGGCTACAACAACGCTCCATATGTGTACACACTGCGGCAGGGGCGCGATCTACGGGTCCCTCTCCAGAAGCCATTAGTATGGGGGAAGAGGGGGAGGATTTAGTGTTAATTATATTGTTATTATTAATTAGAATGCAGATAACTAAGCAAACCAGATCAAATTGCATCCCCACATTTTGTCGTGTGTACAATTTTAGTTGCCTTGACTCAAACCCTGGGGGCTTTTAAAATGTAGAGCTGCTCCCCTATTAGATACAGACGTGGCTATGCAGTGACATTACAGGGACAAGGTAGGAATGAAAATCAGGAACAGGTTTTTGTTTGTCTGCGGGGGTTTCTTGATCTTGTAAAGCTGAGACAATTTTTTACCTTTCCAGCGACAGAAATTGTTGCTTTTTGCACCGAGTTTATGCACGCACACACTTTGTCTTTTTTCAGCTGCAGCTTTTTAACGGAGGCAATAAAAAGCTTTGTTATTTTTGTTATAAAACGACACGATCGTATTTTTAAATGAGATAGTATTCAAGCCAAAGTCAGGTCTGCATCTTCTCCCACTGCTCCGGCCACATCAAAGGTACAACCAGGGAGCTAGAGACAGAGCTGTAGCTATAAGTGTGAGCTTCCTGGATTTGGGGTGTTTAAATCTGACCGTCATTATGTTCATCTGTTTTTCAGGAATGCATTTTTAGAAAAGAAAAAAAATCCCTTTTTAGACAAGAAACAAGAAATAACTTGAATGGGAGTTAGGAAAGTATCTAACAGATAATGCACACACACACACACACACACACACACACACACACACACACACTTATATTTACTATAGGTGTATAGATAGCCGTGTATCTACATTTACTAGTTTTCATAACACGTATCCCCTAGCGCAGTCCGATCTATCATATAAGAAAACTCAGAGACACTGTAGCAGCCTATTATATTTAGACACCAACAAAACTAATTTTATACTCCTGTGATTTGCATTCTTCAATATTTCAAGGCTCTTCAGTCAAATTATTCTTTTATATTCACTCGTGTCCATGCTCAATCCGGGCTAGATCCTGCTCTGTATGAAGCCAACAGGAATGTTGCCCTCCGTGAACTAAAATACCTCTGGATGCATGTTTAAAACTGGAGTAAGATGCACAGGGAAGCTCATTTCTAACCCAAAGCAATGTACAGGGGTTGTCGGGATTCAGTGTAACACACAGTGGAGGCTTTCTTCTTAACAGCTACACGAACATTGGTAAAACAACCGACAGCTGCTGCGTTTGCATTCGTGCTGGTCGGTGCTATCAGCCAGGAACCCCCATCACTCTCCAGCCCAGCCGATTTCCGTGGGCTGGGACGGCCCCCGACGGCCGGCTCCCTGAGAAGAGGCTGGAGAGAAAGACAGACCCTTCCCCTGGGCTGCCAGCCGCGCCCCCTCCCAGTCAGAGACCCCAGCCCGCAGGCGGTGCCGGCTCCGGGCCCTACCTGGCGAGACGGATGGGGACGGGGGTCTCCAGAAGTCCTCGAACTCCGACGCTCTGTCGCAGACGCTGCCCTCGCAGCTGGGAGCCGAGTCGGAAGCGCCATCGACGGCCTCGCTCAGGTGGGATTCCGGGGAGGAGCGGCCCCGGGGGGGCTCCGGGTCCCGGAGGCCGGAGCTGCACAGACCCGTCTCTCCCGGGATCTTACTGTCTGCGGGGGACAGAGGCGAGAAGGGCCCTTACCCCGGGGCAGCGTCTCCCCTCAGCCCGGCCCGCGGGGCCCCTGCCTCCTCGCCAGGGCAGCGTCCCCCTGCGGGCAGCCCCGCAGCCTCGCCGGGGCCCCAGCAGCGCCCCTGCCCCAGCACCCGGCAGCGTCTCCCTCTGTCCCCGCCGCTTCCCCAGCTCAGCCCCGGCCCGCTGCTTCTCGTGGAGACCCGCAGACGCGGCCCTTGCCAGGGCTGGGCTCGGGCCGGCTGCCCAGGGGTCCCCATTCAAACACTAGCCGAGGGCAGCGGGGTCCTCGGGGCGGCAGGGGGCAGCCCCCTGGACTGCAGCTCCGGCTGCCGCTTGCCAGGCGCTGAACTCCCCCAGTACTGGGCGGGTACCTGGCAAGGGGCAGGCACGGGGCAGAGACCTGGTCGCTGGGATCCCCTGGCCCTTGGGCCGCATCTCCCCACCCCGCCTCCTCCAGTGCCCCATTGCTACAAGCCCCCGTCCCCCCCCCCCCCCCCCCACACACCGGGGCCGCGTGCCTTTGCCCCGCGAGCTCCCCCGAGCCCCCAGCCCGCCCTCCCAGGGCTCTGTGGTTGCCTGCAATGAACTGGCACAGCCCCCTTGGCGCAGGTCAGGCTCTGATCCCCCACCTCCATCTGTACCGCTCCAAGCCGTGCCCGGAGCTGCAGTGCCGCGGTCTCCGACCGCAGGTGCCCGCCCTACCTGCACAGATCTGGGCCAGCACGCTCTCCAGGCGCAGGCTGTAGTCCTCGTCCGGAGAGCGGGGCTGGTGGTAGCTGTGCGCCTTCTTACTCTTCACCAGGAAAGACCTGGGCATGGTGAGGCTGCTCCTGCAAGGCGAGGCGCCTGTCACTCTCCGCGACTGTGTCCGCGCCCCGGACACCCCAAACCACTAGCGGCGCCACCCGTGAATCGCCTTAAATCCCCAGCCTTGGCTGTGCTCTGCAGAGAGATTTGACAAGCCATTGGTTAGGGATCTCCGGGGGGACTGGGAATCGGGACAGGGCGGGGAGGGGCGAGGGGACGGGGCAGGGGAGGAGCATGCGTACAGGACGCTCCGTTCACCAGGTGGCATTCAGACAGGTGGTTTCAAAACAACGCATCTCCAGACGCATCAGCCACAAACGGGGCTATCGGCTGGGGGGGAGGGGGCTGTTCGTTTCTTAGGTGTCTCCAACCAGTTCGGAAATCAAACCCGCAGCGCTGCGAAGGAGCGACACTGCTCGCTCACTCTGTTGTTACTCAAACGCGGGCGTTACGCAGTCCTCCCCCCCATCTGTCATCAGGAGGGTGGGCTGGTGGGAGAGGGGCTGCTTGCAGCGTGTTGAGCAACAGGCATCCAACAGACGGGGAGAAATAACACGCTAGTCTCCTTTTGCACCATCCTCACCTTGGAGAGCTCACACGGGAGCAATCTACCCAGGCAGTGCAAACGAGGCGGATCATTTAGTGTGCCAATTTACCGAGGTTAAACTGAGCCCATTCGTCACTCACACAATCCTAGCAAAAGACTGAAAGGCCCCACAAATATCACTGTGCTCTCATTCCCCCCTGAGACTGCTAATAACAACAAGTAACTGGACAAACTGATTTCTAACCCAACTTTTGTGAGATGTCTGAGTTACAATAGCTTAATGTGTTTATAATTTGCATGGCTGTAAACATTTTAAAAGCTCATCAGCGGCGATATTGTGCCCAGGAACAATATGGGTTATTTGCAGGCTCTTCCCTCTAAGAGACTCTCAAGCAATAGCTTGTATCGGATTGATTTTGTGGGAGGTAAATTGCAAACAGAAAATAGCGGTGTCTTGCTCTGTTCTGCTGCGCTTCAGTACAAGGAGGGTCCTGGATACTGAGTACCGGGAGAAGGGAAAGTTTATTCAAGCACATCAGGAAAGAAATGCCAGCTACGCGCCTGCTGTCTGCTGCTGCTGGAAAGTAAGGAGAGCAGCAGCCTTCAACCTGCTGTCTGATCTCTGGATAATTTAGTGAGATCACCAATGTTCATTTACCCCTCCTCCTACTCAGTTAACAATCCCCGCCAGACACGATTCTGTGTGGACAGTCTCTTCATATTTGCATTAGATCAAAGAGCTAAAAACCAGCAGCGAAGCGTAGCCGCCTCGGAGCCAACACACTTTCTGAAACGATGTAACAATTGCATGTCATCTGGACATGTATGAATGACACCGTATTTCTGTCCCAGAGACTGTCTGCTAAAGGGTTTTCGGCGACATCAGTGTAAATGAGATTAATTTGCTTAGGGGGAGGGAGTATAATTAAATCTACAAACTAAATCCAAAATCGGAGAGTTATCCAGGTTTGAGTATTGTGGTACATCCCGGTCCCAGTTCAAGTATCCGCTGTTGAATAAACTTTAAAAAAATATAAAATTGTAAAAACATTTTAACTGTAACATGGAAAACCGAGATCTCGCCACACACTTGGATCGAAAAGAAACCTGGGGGAGAAAATCTGTTTACAGGTTTCCTTTGGGGTCTCCGGGGCCAGGGGTTTAACGAACAGGCGGGTGTCCTATTCAGATCAGCTCCGACACATGGAGCCTCAGAGCTGGGCTGACAACACCTGTACTACTCGGCACTTTGCAAAAGAGAAATACCCCATGTCTGAGCTCTACTGCGCGTTTGTTCTCCGCCAGTGCCGGCTCGCCAGTCCTGGGGTAAGGTAAGGAGCCAGCCTGCGCTTTCTATGAGGAAAGAAAGGAAAACACTGAATCTTGTCCACGCACGGCATTGAATTTAAGCTGGGTTTGTTTTTCCTCTAATGGCTCCAGTTTGTTATGAACAGCTAAAAGAGGTCCTGTCTGATTTCATTTACCCTGGTAGGGCCGGGCCCAGAGGGGAACCAATCAATTGCTGCATATACATTTTTTCAGATGGCAGCTCTGTAATTTACAATACCAGCAATCAATCGATTGCCTTTCATTGCTCACGCAGGTGTTTTAATATTTATTCCGCCTCGTTTATTTTTTTGCCATCGAAAAGATGTAAACAAATATAGTAAATGTTATTCAGTGGGATCATTTTTAATCCCCTGTACATTAAAATAGAGGTTCTCTTGACAGGATCGCCCGAAAAGCAGTTGTTCTCTTCGCTACACTGTTTTCAGATCGTTCTGTTTGCTAGAAACTGGTGGGAGAGTTTCTCCCCTGTTCCACCTGTTCCTTAATTCATCCTTGAGAAGGAGGCACTGTTAACTGTGAAAGGAAGGGGGTAAAAATCAAAGTGGCTTGATAAATTTGTTGACACATTTATCATGAGCCACAGGAGCCTGCCCTCTATTGATTCACTAACACCGCAGCCTAGGGGGCCTCAAAAATATTTCAAACACTTTAAAAATCTCAACTTCTTTTTTTTTCCCTCCAAAAGCCTGGGCACGTCTGTGCGATGGGAGCACCCCCCAGCTTCGCTCCTTGCGTGCGCTCCAACACGTGTGCGCGCGCAGGGCTGTCCACACTGCCCTTCTTGTCTTTCCATGCACTCCTTCCACACACCGTTGGAAAGGAAAGTTACTTCGTTGCCTGATTCCAGTTTGTTAGAGTAAGTCGCTGCTTTCTCTGAACAAGACAAATCGGTTTCCTTATCTCAGTTCTGGCTGCTGCTTAAATCTGCGCTCCCTCCTGAAAGCCAAGGCCAAATTTTCGGAGATGGCAGATAATCCCAGCCAGTAAATGTGGGAACACGGTTTCCCAAACCCACCTGGCATTATCCGACTCACCCGTAAGGAAGTGAAACATATGGCAGGAACTCGGGGAGCGTTTAACCAACTGTTCTCGTCCCTCTGCGCCAGGAAATCAAAGCGAGACCCACATTCCCCAGTGATGCTGGCGCTCGGGCTTTTCGGACACATGGATGTCAGACTCCGAGCCTGTCCCGGGGTCAGTCAGTGATGCGTCGAGGGCGCAGGCCTCGCTTTCCAGCAGCCTGTTATATTTCGGCCTCAGTTTTATCTTTGGGCAATTCGTGGTTATTATTCGCCACGTGCTTTCGTTTCATTTTCTCTCCCCGCTCCCAGTCGCCGGGCTGTTATTAACTGTTCTCCTCGCTGCATAGAAAGAGGGAGGGAGGCAGCGAGCTGCTCCACCCGCACAGCTGGGCACTCTCAGCCCTTCGCAGGAGGGCCGGGCAAAGCCAATTCCGTTTCCCTGCAGTGCCCGGGGCGCACTGCGCTCCAGACGGCTGCTGGAGAGGAACCGAAGGGGAGTCCGTTTTCCTAGCAGAGCTGCCCTCTGCCACCACGGGGGAGACGTGTGTCTAACCTCCCCACCCCTTCGGGGCTCGGGGCAGGGCCGTCTCCCAGGGGCTGAGCAAAGAGCAGCGCTGGTAGGTTTGTCCTTTGCTCTCAGTGAGACCCGCGGGCCAAGGGGGACAGGACATTTCCCCCAGTCGGCCAGGGGCGCAAGGCAAGAAAAGGAAAGTTGCTTACCATTTGGAAGCGTGGCTGCAGACAGCTTTGTGCCACACAGGCTGCTAGTTTAGGTGACTTTAAATTTAGCCTCCCTTAAGGAGAGCTGGTGTTTGACTTTGCCCTTTTTTTTCTCAACTCCTTCTGAGCTCAGCCCCCAAAACCACAAATTCCACTTCCTGAGCGTTAGGAGCTTCTGCAACAAAAAATGCGTTTAAAAACCTATCAAATCAACACCGGGTTTTCTCTCTCTCTTTCTTTTTCTCTCTCTCTCCTTTCCTTAAATGAAAAGGTCTTACCGTATTCAGCTTGGCAGGGTTCGCCGGGGTGACATCCAAGTGTCATTCTGCAATAGGGCGTTTCATTTCACTCGGGGTTCTGCTCTAGAAATTACACACAGCGAGCTGAACTATTCTTGGATCCTCTTCAACTTCCGCAACGAGAACAGGTCACAGATTCAAAACACAGATTGACTCAAAAAAGGGGGGCAGGGGCTGGGGACTGTGCTCGGAGGAGCTGACACAAAACTTTCAGGGAAATTCAAACCTCTCAGCTCAGCCCCCCCTGCGGTCCTAGGAGGGCTGAACAACCCCCACGGGGCAGTCTAGACGGGGGTTGTATTATGGATCGGGTTTAAGGCAGAGCGTTGTACAAAGGAGCCCTTCCCTAGCCTAGAATTAACTTGTTGTGGAAACTCTTTTGGGATAAATACACCCAGCGGCGCTGAAAATACCGTGACACCCAAACCTAGAGGTTTGCTCATTTCCCTTTGGATTTAGGTAATGGTTAAATATGGAAGAGGTAGGCGAGATTCTCTCTCCCCCCCTTTGCACAGAGGTTATTGTAGCTACAGAGTGATTCAAACACCGCAGGCAAGAGACACACACTCGGGAAACGACTGCCTTAGAGCAGCCTTCCTTACCTAATTTCCGGTGGTCAGTTTGCTAAATTAGAAAGGATCTGTGAGAAAGGCGCTTGCTGCACGCAGCGTGCAGACCTGAAGTCACCAGAGCTAGTGGGGAAGGGGCGGAGGAAAGAACAGCTCGGCGGGTGCACCGTTATTATCCAATTTAGCAGCGCTTTACTTACTTCGTGCATGAAAAACGTCCTTTAAAATTAGAGAGGGGCTCAAACCACTGCCTTCGCCGCTGCAGTTCCCCTGCCCCGCTCCCCAAAGTTTGCGGGTGCTCCGATCTGGGCTTTTGGCTCCTCTCATTATAAAAGAGAAGGGACAATTGATTGACACAGTTCTCATTCTGAGCTAGTCTTGAATTCTGACACATCCCAGCGCCCTAAATCCGGGCTTCTAAGATCCCGGCATTTGATCTGGCCCTTCTGAGGTACACGATTTCTTTTGCCATGCACCACAGGCAGAGTAAATGCACACCCTGG